AATAGATATAAAAAATGTTCAAACTAATGGAAAGACTTTTACATCGAATTTAAAGTTATTGTAATGTGAAAAATATACAAAATTGAGGAAAAAATCTACTTACATTTCTGCATTAAATATTAAAGAATTTAAAGAAAAAAAAACATTTCTAAAGTGTAAAAATTGCGAATAAAAATGGTCCAGTTGAGAGAGCTCGACTTAGGGATACCCTAAGCTCAACTGTTAAATGCATTAAATCGATTAAATCGATTTAGCTTGGTCAATATGCAAATACGCTTTGGGTAATAAAATGATCTTAATGAAAACAATACAGTTGATTAATAATAGATCAAGACATATTATGCATAAATTAGAAGAATATACCTTTACAATTGTGTCTTTTAGTGCTATCGATAATCGATTTGTATCGATATTCGTAAAAAGGAAAATCTTATCAATTAAATGGAATAATCTTAATCTTAATCTTAAACTTAACATTAAACTTGATTAAGTTTATTCCATTTTTTGATATCTTTTTCTGTTGCATGAATATCGATAGAAACGAAAAGTTGCTTTTAATGAGTTTCTAAATTCTTAGGCATATTTATTGCTCGACGTGGCAATAAATTATAAGTGTGGCATGTGTCAATGGTATTTTGTAGACTTAATCAGACTGATATGTGTGTACTAGATATGTATAAATAGCCTAGTCGAATATATTTATTGCATTTATTGCAGTTGCAAGCACAATTTCAGAATTTCAAATATGTGATAAAAATGGCTGGTTTTAGCGGTTTATTGAATTAGTGTGCGTTTATTAAAAGCGCCAGCCGCAAAACTGAAAAGCAAAAATCATCGACAGATTGAAATGTATCTCATGAGTTGCAGCATATATACATATATATATATATAAATACATATTAATATATAGTTATCTATGTTCATTCGTATTGTATGTGTTTCAGTGATGGGTGCGCAGATTTGTTGGCATATTTCTTTTGTGGCGTGCAACAAAAAGATTCAACGATTTGCCCACATTACAAAATATATCGCACAAAATAATAAAATTTTGTGGCTTTTCGGCAAATATTTGGACAGCCCCTGAGGGAGGGGAGGCGGGGCTACAAAGGAGGCGCTGCTCGACATGAAAATGATGAACATTTTTCGCGAGTCAAGAAAACTGAAAAATCGGCTGGCAAAATAATTCAGATATAGATAGATAGATAGATAGATAGAAAGTGTAGACAGTTTTGCTTTTGCCTGCGCACATTTCTGTCATAACAAAACAAAAAAATATTTTTTAAGAACACCTTCCCCTCCACCCTCCACATGCCGCTAACCTCACCGAACGCCCTTCGGTTTGACGTTGATGTTGAATATTTATATATATAAAATATAAAATAAATAAATAATAAAAGAAAACGGTCAGCAAATAGCTGGCAAATAAATACAAATAAATATGCCATTAGGAGGGGGAAGGGAGGGTGGGCTGAAGTGGCGCGGGAGGCGTGGCAAGTGGCGAGTGGCCAGAAAAATGAAAAATAGGCTGGCGTACAAATTTGTTGTAAATTTTATAAATGAACAGAGCGCAAAAATTAAATGAATTTATCGTCGACAGCGTCAGATATAAAGATGAAATTGATGAGGACGATGATGATGATGATGATGATGATGTATGCACACACAGATACACACACACACACGACTAGCTTTGTCTCAGATGGATTTGCTTGCTTGTCCGTTGAAATGAAATCGCGCGACTCATAAATTAATTAAGGCAATAAACGCATTAAGACACATGCACATTGATATTAATATATATATATATATATGTGTGTGTGTGTGTGTGTGTGTGTGGGTCTTAAGTATCTGTATCTTTAGCTGTATGTGTGTGCAACTGCAACTGTGCCACTGCTGGCTATCAGCTTAGCTGTTCTGCTTGACGCGCTTGATTGCTCATCATTTAAATCTCAAACGCCCACCTCCCCCTCTACCACCCCCTCCCTCCGCTGGCTGACATTTGACTGTCTCGGTGTTCCGCATCTGACACCTGTCATCTTTTCGTTTAACCTACGGCCCCCCAATCTTGCCCCAAAAATCACACACCCACACCAACACAGCCCGCCCCGCCCCCTTTTGCCACGCATTGCTGCTGTGCTAATTTCCCTGCCCCTCCCCCCTCCTTGCTGTCACCCGCTCTCTGGAGACATGCGTGTGTGTGTGTGTGCGAGTGTGTGTGTTTGCTGGCATAGCATGCTTCCAGTTTCATATACACTAAGAGAAAATTATAGAAACTACTTTCTCTTGGCTTAGTTCAAGTAAAAAATTAAATTTAATAAATTTATTTTGAATTTGATAATTCTTTTGTGTAAGAAAAACTTGAATTAATTTAAGTGCGATTATTTTCATTTTAAAATACAAATTTAATCAATAAAAACTTTAATTGCCCGCATTTTAATTTATAAACTTAATTACTTTAAGTTTTAATTTGTGAAATAAGAATAAGAACTTCATAAGTAATAAATAAGCAATTCAGTTTTTATTTTATTATGTTTTTATTCTCATTCATGTAATTGTAAGGATTCTTCTCATTTTCAATTAAAAATTAATTACTTGTTAAGTTTTTTTTAAGATGAGAACAATCGTTATTTAATTACTTATTAATTACTTATTAAGCTATAATTTTAGTATAAATTATCGTTGTTATTTTTTAGTCGGTGTATTTTCAAATAAAAACTTAATAACTTGCAACAAATTCTCAATTTCTTGTTTTAAGAGTCGTACAAATCAATTCAAATTTTGTTTTGTATATAAATTAAATTAAATTAAAATTTTCTTCACATTTTTTAAGCACAAAATGCTGGTAATCAGAGTTAAAATACTTATTAAGGAATATTCAACAAGGATAACTAAACATTTGCATATATCAAACGAATGTTCTTTCTTAGTTCAAAGAGTGTTTTTCTCCTAGTGTATCTATCTAAATATATATATATATATATATTTATATATATAGATAGCTGTGTTAGCTGTCATTTGGATATGTATCTCGTGCTCATACCCAGACATCAATAATCTCCACGGTTTCGTGTCACCTTCGAGGCGTCTTGTTGCACTTCTTGTTGCTCGATTGTTGCTCTTGTTGCAGTTGTTGTTGTTGTTGTTGTTGCTGTTTTTGCTCGTTTGTTGCAGGCACAAAGTAGTTGTATTTATGTTAAGTTTGACATAAGCCCGACATGCAACTTTCTGTTGTTGTTCTTGTTGCTCTTGTTTTGTTACTTCGGTTGCATGTCCTCGCACAAAGTGTCAAAGTTAAATAATCGACACTCGGACAACAAACGGAGGCCTTCGACTAGCTCAGAATTACACAAAATTGCTCAGCTCTCAAAAATCAAAATTGCTCAGCTCTCAAAAATCAAAATTGCTCAGCTCTCAAAAATTTGCAATTGCTAAACTTTTTTATAGCAACTTTACAAACTTATCACACAAATATCACATGACAAGAATTCAAATTGTGGCTTAGTTATTTTTGGTTTATTTAGAAAGTTGGCAAAACCAAAGCAGAAAAGATTTTGATTTATAAATTAAGTATTGCAAAAGTAGCCAAATAACATGATAAGTTTAAAAAAAAATAATATTAAGTTGAGTGTACAAATTATTCATTTTACATAAGAAACATTTAAAATTCGGAATCACATTTTAAAAATTAAATTTGTATGCACAAAAGTATATTTGCAATGGTTTTCAAAATACTAATAAAGCATATTTTTATTAATAACTCAATAAATATTAACAGTAGTCATTTAGTATATAAATATACAATGATATTATGATAAGATAAGAGAAGAGTCAAGATTGATTTCGACTATGAGAGAAGAATGATTGTTGATTTGATTGATATCTTTGAATAATAATATTTGAGGAAACCATTTCTCATACACAAGTTAAGTTATTTTTTGACCATTTTAGTCGTGGATATGTTTTAAATATATGTTTATTATTTTATATTTATTTGAAAGGGAAAGCACAGCTGATTAGCTTTTAGTTTAAATTGTTTTCTTATCTTATTTTTGTGAAACTCATGTTTGAACTAGAAATTATAATTGAAATGAATAATCTGATTCCTTGATTTATTTGATTGTTAGTTAAACTTGACATTGAAAAAATAATTATACATAATCTATACATAAAACTTAACTTAAAAAATTATAATAGGGAATTAACAACTATACAATAACTAAAGAGTTGTATTAAGGATTATTAAAGATTAAATTAAGTATTCAGTTACTTAAATGTAATGTTAATATTAACGTTAAACTAAGCTTTATCTAAAGATATAATGACAGACATCCAAATAACCCAGGATTCTACTTGAATTTAGTTTTATTGTTATTGCTTTTGATATGATAAAATCAGCTTACAATTGATACTACAAATATCATGTTATCATTAGTTGTAGAGGGTGTTCTAATTTTATCGTGAAGTGAGAAGAAGACCTTTGCGAGACTGTGAAGTATATATATTCTTGATTAACACACCTAACCTATTCGATATAGCCTTGTTCATCTGTCCTCTGTCTTTTTCTATCAGTTATCAAGTCTTAAAATCATATTGAAAGTAAACATTTATGATGGATATATTGTTGCTGCAGACGGTTGGACATATTGAAGCACTATATCATACAGCTGTCATATAGGAATTATCCTTCGAAAGATTAGTTATTTTAAAGATATGTTATTTGTTTAACAAGCTGTTTATTAGTATAGAATTCCCATATTATCTAGCAGCCATAGGAACAATCGGTCGAAAGATGCGTTCTTCTATGAATAAATTTTTTGATTCACAGTTTTCTTAAAAAAAAAACTCCAAAAATTATGCACCTTAAAATGCTGATCACATTTTAATAAAAATTGTTACTATTATAATATATTTAATATAATAATAATATAATAATAGTAAGAGTTTTTGTAAAGAATTCCGGAGCATATTTAATTCAATAAAGTCCAAAAATGTTTACTCACTTGAATATCAACTCCAGTTTGCAGTTTGCAGTTTTCTATTTAAATTTTATTTTTATTTTTATTTGTGTTTTGTTTGTAGTTTATCCGTTTTTTGTGAACATTTTGGCAAACACTTTAATTGAATTATTGATTTCGCCGACGGCAGTTTGCCAGTTTTTGGTTTGTTGCTGTGAATCCTGCAGCAGGATGCCAGATAATAGATAATAGATAACAGAGATAACAGTTCTGTTGTGGGCAAATTTCAAATTTGAATTTGTTTTTGGCTGTCTTTGTTACTTCTTCTTTTTATTTTTGCACTGCACTTTAACATTTATTGCACATTTTATTTAACTTCGTTGTAGTTGTTGTTGTTGCTGCTGTTGTTGTTGTTGTTGTTGCTGGCGCTGCTGCGTTGGCCATTTGCATTTTTGTATTTTTATTTTATGATTAATTAAACACACGCGACCACAAAAACTTCGACAGCATTGTTCACCCCTCGCCCCCGCGCACGCAACCCACATGCTCGCACACACACACACACACACACACACGCACACGCACACAATGAGAGAGAGAGACACACACACACACACACGCACACGCACACAGAGATACACACACACAGACGCACACACGCACTTTATGACTGGACTGGAGAAGCGGGGCGACGTAACGTAACAAATATAAAATACGTAATGTGCGTGAGCGTAATAAAAACCGTTAAGCTGGCAATGCTGCTGCTGCTGCTTCCTCTTCCTATTCCTCCTTCACCTCCTCCTCCTCCTCTTCCTCCTCCTCCTCTTGTTGTTGTTGTGGCTGTCAAATTTTTGGCTTTTGTTTTTTTTTGCGTGCTGTTGGCAACAATAATTTTGATTGTGAATGGCAAATTAGCTGTAAAAACTGGCCACTGGCAACTGTCCGCTTTTGTGGCAAGAGCCCAAAAAATATTTTGTGTTGCCTGGCTGAACGTTGAACGTGGAACGTTGAACGCTGCGCTGCCGTTGGCCGTGACTGGAGCCGAGGCAGCGAATGTCCTTTATGGATTTAAACGTGCTGCAAGCAGCAAGCAGCAAAGCCAGCAAGAAACGGCAACGAGACCAAAACGACGAAAAAAAAACAACAGCAAACCGAAAAAAAAACAAGTGAGGCGCAGCAGCAGAAGCGTTGGCAGCGGCAGCAGCAGCGAATCGAAGTGTCGCTTCTCGTTGGGGGCAGCAATGCAAAAAGCTTGCCCGCAGCGAGAGAGCGGGAGAGCGACAGAGCGAGAGAGAGAGAGAGAGAGAGAGAGAGAGAGTGCGTGCAACATTTTCGAAATGGCGGGGAAAGTGTCGTGTATAAGACTGTTAAGCAGCTTCCTTAACAGTGAGTGCCGCTGTTAAGCTTTGCCCGCACACACACACACTAGCTGTGCTCCTCTAACACACGCTGTACGCGCATTTATGAAAGGTCTCATGTGTGTGTGTGTGTGTGCCATAAATCAAAAAGAGAGAGAGCTGCGTGTGTGTGTATGTGTGTGTTGGTATTGGTGCTGCTCTCTTGCCGGCTGGCCGAGCGCACTCGAAAAGCGCCGACGGCATACAAATCGATACACCCAAGAAACAGCAGCAGCAGCGACAGCAGCGTCGGCTGCGACAGCAAACGAATAACTGTTCGAGAGCAGAGAACGTCATCTTCGGCGCAGCGCAGCAAAATGCCGTTTTTTTTCGCTGCTGCTTCTTCTTCTTTATGGAGCAAAAACAAATTATGACAACTTTAGGCGGAGCATATCGACAGCTGCAGCGGCGTCGGCAGCAGCAGCGCTGCTCTCATTTTTATTTTCTTATGTTTTGCTCCTCGTTGGCCACGCTCAATCATATTTTTTTACGACATGCGTGCGTGTGTATGTGTGTGTGTGTGTGTGTGCGTGTGTGTGTGTGTGTGAGTTTTCTTTATTTACCTACGTATATATTCTTAGGCTGCTGCTTCTTCCTTGCCGTTGGTCCTTTGGCGGCCATCGTGCGACGCCAAAATGCCGTCGGTGAAAAAGTTGTTGCTCAAATAACTGTTGTTTCTCAATAAGATAATAGGAATATGAATAGAAAATTAATAGGAAAATGAGTCTGTTTCTAAATTTACAATATATATTTTCAATCTTATTGCTTTTCTAGATATTTTAATCCAACGAATTTTGATTTTTACTTGTTTTAGTCTTACAAATTAAATCAGTTCTTTGCTGTTTTCCTAATTAAAATACTTGGAAAAAGTTTTATCCGAAAATTTGTCTCGCTTTAAACGTAATTCCTTGTTAATCTAAGGAGAAATCCATTCTTAATACTAGTATTTTATATTCTAATATGGATAAATTGTAGTTGAATCATTTTAAGCTCAAATTTTGATTTGCAAGCTCAAATCAAGAATGTTTGAAAAAAATGGTAAAACTAAAAGCAAACTTGGATTGGGTTTATTTAATCTAGACTAAACTGACTTAATTTATGATTTATTCTTAGTCAACGCTTTTAGTCGATGAATCTACAAATGTATTCTTAATTTATTAGCGATTTGTATTTTAATAACGATAATTTTATTTACCTGACAATCGAAGAATTTATTCTTGGCTTAATATTTTTTTATAGAATTTATTTATTTATTAATTTAATCTTTGCTTATTTTTTTTAATAAGATTTATTTTTTTTTTTAAGTTTTTTAATTCACATAATATTTTGTGGAAAAATGTATTAAAAATAACATTAATACTTTATTGAATGCACGACTGCATTAAAGTTCCTCTACTCGACGATTATTTAATTTTTTAAACTCAATTTTGATGGCATCTTTATCGGCTCAAGCCCCGAAATACTGCTTAATGCAGTTTTGTGGCATGAATTATGCATGCAACTGCGGCCACCAATTGCATTTCATTTGTAGATAAACACACATACATATATATACCAGTTACTATTTATGTAGATGCCACAGTTGCTGCAACCCCTTCACCCCGTCTCCCCCTCTCTGCTCATATAATCGAAAAGTATCCGTGCGGAACATCTGCCCGCTGTTTGAGTTTATGAATTACTAGAGAGAAGAAAAAAAAATACTTTATAAAATGCGAGAGCAACAAAAACAACAATTACACATGAGTGACAAACAGATTCAAAATGGTTTCATGTTGAATAAAAAATGAAATGAAATGATAACAAACAACAAACAACAAGGACACAACGCAAACAATACACCACCCCAAAAAAATATGTATTTATTCCGACATCTCTCGAGAACCCTTCATAGTTCCCAAATATTAAACTAACCCTCTCCTCTCATCTCATCTCCTCAACCCTCAATTAGCAGCGTGTGGAAAAATGCTTTAGTCTGTCAAAAATCGTTTCGAGTGCGTTTCTCTGTTAAATGTCAACGTTTAAGGATAAGCAACAGAAACAGAGAGAGAGAGAGAGAGAGAGAGAGAGAGAGAGAGAGATAGAGAAATAATAGTTAATGTATTTCAGTTTTTCATCCATAGACACCGAGTCTAAGGCCAAACTTAAATTTCCCAGACGCAATGTCGTTTATCAAATATAAAATAAAACCATAAAAAGACGTGGGATGAGAAGAGAGAGAGAGAGAGAGAGAGACAGAGAGAGAGAGAGAGACAACTGTTGAAATTCGTATGCAAATCGAGACCCGTTTTTGAAAATTTTGATGACGCCGATTTGTCTCCACATTCATAAAAACCGTTCAAGAAAAACCTACTACAACAAAAATATCAAAAACAACCTCCACAAATTTTTCTCAGGTCTCATTTTCTATTTTTTTTTTATTCTATTTTGGGAAAAATCAAAGTCAAAGCGAAGCCGACCTCAGAACACGACCAACAAAGCATAATTAAAGTCGGAATAAATTATTACACACATTTTAAGGTACACACATACTCGAATGCGACAAATGTTTAAATCCAAACCCCTCAACAAAAGTAAATCTGAACCAATCCAATGGAGAACAAAGTTTTTAATCATCATGGAAAAACGTGAGTTGGTTCAACATGCCACAAACGTGGTAAAAAATAGAAGAACAACTCTTCAAGCAAACGTTTTACATAATAAGCATTACTAGTTTGGGGAAATCCATTTTACCTGATAATACTGAAAACTGGTCAAGCTGAGGTCGTATTTTAAAAATGCATTTCTTGTTAGATTAATAAATTATAAATGTATTCAAAATATTATGCATAATAAGTTAATTAAATAAAAACAATCCAGCTTTATAATCAGAATTTCTTCATTTAAAATATATTTTTAAATTAATATTAATATTTTCATTCTGGATACATTCAGAAACTTTGTTTCTTGCTTGTATTTTTTCTTTAAATATTTTTTAAAGCTCAACAGCTGAATATATATTTTAAGGTACCCAACAATTTATTTTTCACTAGATTTCTAATCTTCAATTAATACTTGTGTCATTTTCTTTGATGTTTTTCAACAGAATAATATCTATTTTAAATATCACATTTAATTTTTTGTTTTAGAATTGCATTCATCAATTAAACTTTCTTTTACAACTATGCTTAAACCTTTCTTAAAAATCAACAGAAGAAAATTGAATTCACAATTTAAAACAATTTATTTCTCACTTTAAAATTTTCAATTTTATTTTGTACATATATTCTTCAAGATTCTAAAAAATTTAACAGGATGAGATTTATTTAAACTATCTAAAATTGAATTTCGTGCAAGCAGTACATACTTCAATTCTTCTTTGTGTGGTATCATTTATTATTATTATTATTATTACATATTTAAATAAATATATTCTTATTACTTATCTAACATTTAATGCCTTGTTAGCTTTATATTATATCGATTTAGTTTGTGGTGTTCTTTTTTTTTTCTTTTTCTTTTCTTTACAACAGAAAAAGCTATATTTTAAACCATCCCGAATTTTATTTCTTTGTAAATTTGTATTTCTTACCATTTTTATTTGGTTAGATTCAAAAATGTTTCTTAGATTACAACATTATATATATATTTAAATCAATATATTGAAACTATCTATCATTACCTTCTCGAGTTCTT